AGGGTCTTCATGAGGATTAAATGAGGTAATAAGTGTCAATCACTTTATTAGTGTATTTGATAAGTGTTGGCTGTTACTATTAATATGTTTATAATGGGGATGATTAAAAATAAGAAAAAGTAGGAAGAGCCGCATTGCTCTGCGATAAGACACTGGGTGCATGAGCTCTGATATATACACTCAAAGGCAGAGTCATGAATTTTTTTTTTTTTTAAAAAAACAGGGTCAGGGTCTCACTTGTTCACCCAGGCTGGAGTGCAGTGGTGCGATCTTGGCTCACTGCAACCTCCGCCTCCCAAGTTCAAGTGATTCTTCTGCCTCCGCCTCCCGAGTAGCTGGGGCTACAGGCGCGTGCCACCATGCCTGGCTAATTTTTGTATTTTTAGTAGAGATGGGGTTTCATCATGTTGGCCAAACTGGTCTCAAACTCTGGACCTCAAGTGGTCTGCCTGCCTCGGCCTCCGAAAATGCTGGGGTTACAGGCATGAGCCACCGCTCCCAGCCTAGAGTCATTCAATTTCATCACATTATATACAGTGTTTAGCACAGGAACTAACTCATACAAGTGTTTAGTGAAGTCTGGATTTCACTGTGAAATATTCAAGATATCCATTGGGTTACATTTTAATAACTGAAACTGGGACATATCTTATAGTCAAGGGTGTGTTACAGTTTAATTGGAAGTGTGTGATGCATCTCACATTTGACGCACTCTGTGCTCAACAGAATAATGGCCTCCCAAAGATGTCCACGTCCTAATCTCCAAAAGGTGTCAATGTTACCTTACAAGGAACTTTGCAGATGTGATTCAGTTAAGGACCTAGAGATGCAGAGATTATTCTAGATTACCCAGGTGAGCCCAATGTAGTCACAAGGGGGCCTTACAACAAGGAGGCTGGAGGGTCAACGTTCGTGGTAGGAGATGTGATGGTGGGAACAGAAGTTGGAATGATATGGAGAAGAAACCATGAGCCAAGGAACACATGCAGCATGTAGAAGCTGAAAATGGCAAGGAAACGATTAAGCCCTGAAACCTCCAGAAGGAACCAGCCCTGTCAATATCCTGATTTTAGCACTTCTGACCTCCAGAGCTGTAAGCCAAGTGTGTGTTATTTTAAGTAACTAGGTTTGTGGCAATTTGTTGCAACAGCAGTAGAAAACTAACACACAGTCTTCATCTGAATGAAACGAGGTCCTTTTTGACTTGTAGGCACATGTTAGGCTCTCAGTGTATTCCGAGTTACCACTTGACTGCATAAGAGGCAGTCAGTATAAAACTATTGAACAAATGTTGAATAGAATAGAATACAAACATTAAAATTATGTTTACAAAGCCATCATAATAAAACAGAAAAATGTTATTTAAAAAAGAATACCTATGTGTATTACAGTGAAATCACCACTGTATTAAATGGGCAAACATCAAATTATGTACATACAAATTCCAGAAGAAAATAAATGAAACTATTAATAGTCATCAATTCTGCATGCTGGAACCTATAAATGACTTTCTTTTTTCTTCCTTTTACATTTCTGCACTATCTCAATTTTCTATAAAGAATGGTATCATTTTCATAAAAGAAGAAAGCACATCAATTTCATTTCAAAAGTAGAGAGGAATATAGTATGGAACATCAAAGGCAATGAAAAAAATGTTGTTATATTCAGTTCCCTCATTTATGCAACAACAATTCTAATGTGACTAATAATTTAAAATCTTCAAATTTACACGTCTGCATATCACAAACAGAATGGTCATCGTGGATCTGTTTTGATTTTGCAAACAGTGGTCAGTTTTAATAATAGTAAAGTTATGACTATCACCTCCAAAAATCAGCTGCTGCCCAGCCACTGTGAGCCGCATGACCCCAGCAGCGTGTCAGATAGGTAGAGATTTAAGCAGACTCTGGCAATTGACTCCACAGGAAGGAAAAAAAGTCAAGAGGAGAAAAGCTGGGAGACCTGCTGAGTGACTCTGCTTTGCTTACACGTGAAAAGAAGAAAGAGTTATTCTTAGAACTATGGCTCTTTGACCTTGGATAAGTCATTCCACTCCTCTCAGCCTCACTCAGTCTCCTTTTGTGTTAGGAGAGTATAGAGCTAAATTATCTCTAAGATTCCATCTAGCTCTCATATTCTATAAATACATGTGTATGTATACATATACAAACACTCCACACATCTGGACATACAGGCTCTGAGACATAAGACAATGAGACTAATACTCAAAACAATATTCCACTATTTTTGCAGTCATATGTGGGTTGCTTTGAACCAGCTTTAACTAGATCTTTCATACTGTGCAATTTGCCGCTAATACCATCACCATCAGATATTCACAGTGTCTTCTTTTTCACTATGTCAGAAAATAAACTGCACAGTTTGAAAAGGCTTAAACATGTGAGGGGGTTACGGCAGTAGCAGCAGCCTGAGGTCTGGCTAGTCCCTGAGGCTTTCTAGCTTGTCACTCAGCAGCTCTTTGAAGAATGCATTTGTAACTTTGAGAAGGTTGTCTACTTTCTTCCGAGAAAACCAAGCACATTAACAGAACTTAATAACAGATTTTCAATTCAAGGCAATGCCTGATAATACCTCAATTACTGAATCAAATGAAGATGCCATTTCTGAAATACGTTTTGTATGAAATTTCACTGGAAGTCTGAAATGTCCTAGAATATTTATTATGAACGTTTTTCCAGGAAATATTGGCAGAATCCCTATTTTTCAAAGGAAACGTAAGTGATTTAATCCAAATCTTAAGGCACTTACAAGTCTTGCAGGGTGGAATAAATCATGCGCATACTGAACTCTAATGCAAAACAGAAAGATGAATGCCAGAGAAAGGCAGGGGTGTATCCCTGTAGATAGAGTTTCAGAAGAGAAAGAGATTATACCCAGCTGCCGAGCAGGAAGATGGTCTAAAGAAGCTTATGGGGTACACCGTATCAAAGGCCTTTTGGCTTCTGAATTCAATAACTAATATGGGAGTGGAGGATTTTTTTTTTTTTTTAGACTGGGCCTCTCTATCACCCAGGCTGGAATGCAGTGGCACAGTCATGGCTCACTGCAGCCTTGACCTCCTGGGCTCAAGCAATTCTCCCATTTCAGCCCCCAAAGTAGCTTGGACTACAGGCACACGCCACCATGCCCCATTCATTTTTTTCTATTTTTTCTATTTATTTTTTTTTTTTTAGAGATGAAGTTTCACCATGTTGCCCAGGCTGGTCCCAAACTCCTGGGCTCAAGCAATCTGTCTGCCTCAGCCTCGCAAAGTGCTGGGATTACAGATGTGTCACTGTACCTGACCAGGAGGAATTTTTGATGGAGGAACTAGAATGAGCAATGTTTTTGTGACATGGAGAATTTGGGCTGTGTACAGAGACAAACAAAACATGAAATTTGACAGAAATGCCAACTCCAGATTAGGGAGCCAAGAGAATAAAGATTGAAATGACACGTAAGATTGAGAGTGCCAAGGCCTTGAGCCCCCAAAGAAGGAAAAGGAGACGGCACTTTCTTCTACAGACAGTTGTGAGCCATCTAGGACGTTTAAGCAATTGTTTGATTTGCATTTATTCACCTCTCCCCATTATAAGGAGCATAGGTAATTTTAACTCCATAGTTTAAAAGGCATTATAATTTCTCACTCAACAAGTGACCATAATTCCAAGCAACCTTTCCATGTGTCACACAATGAATAATTCTAATTCTGTGTTTGAAATTCTGCAAGAGAAGATTTCCTTTATTGCTTTAGTATTTCTAGTTTTATTTGGTGTTGGAAGAGGAGTGGTTCCATTCAGATGTGAGAGTCAAAGGTGCACATGTGACCAGGCATGGTGGCTCACACCTGTAATCCCAGCACTTTGGGAGGCCAAGGCGGGAGGATCACTTGTGGTCAGGAGTTTGAGACCAACCTGGCCAACATAGTGAAGACCTGTCTCTACTAAAATACAAAAATTAGCTGGGTGTGGTGGTGCTTGCCTGTAGTCTAAGCTGCTCAGGAGGCTGAGGCACAAAAATCGCTTGAACCTGGAAGGCAGAGGTTGCAGTGAGCCGAGATTGCACCATGGCATTCCATCCTGGGCGACAGAGTGAGACTCTGTCAAAACAACAACAACGACAAAAAAAAAAAACAAAACAAAACAAGAAAAAACTGCATCATATGCATGGGGCCCAGGAAACCCAACCTTCTGGAGGACAGAGATGACTTGGTCACACAGACAGACGCACAGACTGTATCCACTGGTCTCCAGGCTTCCTGGTTTCAGCCTTTTAGACCCCAGGGCTTAGCCATAGCTCCTTATGCACAGCCCCTTGCCTTCCCACCTGTTTACTCCTCAGCACTGGCACCAAACCTATATTCTGTACATGAAGACATAACACTTATTCAGTATGGTGCTCTCGTTCCGTGTCTGTGTGGATATGTGTGTCTGTGCATTTATATATAAATGTACAAATATACACACATTATGCAAAATGGCAACAGCATATACCATTATTTTATTTTTATATCTGTCATTTTGTGGTGAAAGCCATATTTTTTCCAAACGGGTTGTGAGCATTTTGAGAAGAGGCCCATCATATTGTATCATGCACACAGCCAATACTCAATTAGCATTCACTGAGCAATTGACTTAAGCTAAGTCTTTAGCCTCCCAGATACGTAGTATTTCCTCCTAGGACAAGGAGAGCAGCTGGTTAACATACTTGGTGTAAAAGGACCAAAAAATATGGTTCCCATTTTCTTTTAGATCTCAGAAAGACAAGATAGTTTATGTCTTTAAAAGCTCCAGAGATAAGGTAACTGAACCCATCATCTGAAAGCAATCTATCAATATGTACGAGAGTGCATGGGTGAGAGCATCCATGTGTGTGAAATCAGAAACCTCGAAACTGAAAAATGGAGAAATCATGCGGTAAATATTAAATCCAGGTGGTGTTAGCAAACGGATACAGTTCATCAACTGGCGTGGTTTTCATGTGTTCAACTCAACACTTACCTCAATAAAGAAGATGCTGGCTGCTGATGTTGGGTGGTGATACATATAGACTGTCACAAGGATGGCTGTGGCTATAATGAGGACCAGGATGAGGATTCCAACGATGAGGCCAGCGTGGAGGGTTCCCCCTTTCTTCTCAGCTGCACTGTCATCTGTAGAAGCTGAAAGAACATCCCAGCTGTCAGGACGGTCATGAGCTTACCCTTAAGTTTGCATTTTCATCTAAGGAGATATTTGTGTTTTTAATAAAGTACGACTGGATCTTTACTTCCTGGACAACTTTTCCACGACACCAGTTTTACAGGTGAGGTGCTCTTCATGTGGGCAATGAAGAATCCACAGGATTCGTGAGTAAAAATACATTTATCACTGTGTTTTATTTTTATTTTTTATTTTTTGAGATGGAGTTTTACTCTTGTTGCCCAGGCTGGAGTGCAATGGCATGATCTTGGCTCACTGCAACCTCTGCCTCCTTGGGTTCAAGTGATTCTCCTGCCTCAGCCTCCTGAGTAGCTGGGATTACAGGTGTGAGTCACCAAGCCTGGCTAATTTTGTATTTTTAGTAGAGACAGGGTTTCACCATGTTGGTCAGGCTGGTCTCAAACTCCTGACCTCAGGTGATCCGCCCACCTCAGCCTCCCAAAGTGCTGGGATTACAGGCATGAGCCACTGCGCCTGGCCTGTGTTTTAAAATTTCTAGTTGGGTAAGCAAAATGAATACTTTTTATTCTCAAAGTACTGTGGGATACCTCAAACTCTAATTAACTACACACTAAATTTAACTTTGATTTTTCTCATTAAACCAACAAAGTTACCTAGGGAAAAGCTGATTAATTTTGAAAGCTCCTCTCACGGAAATTTTAAATTCAAGAGTACTGGACATCTTTTGGTAAGCTACATAAGCATTTTCAGAAAGTTTGTACATGAACTCCAAGCAAAATTTGTGAAAAATCTGTTTTAAGCAAAAATACTTTAAAAAAGTGTAACAGATGGATGCTTAATGACCCTCAAATAGTTTTGATCACTATCTGAAGGGAACGTCACAGCAAAGGAAAACATTCCACAACACCCCAGAACAGTATCATTCCCTCTAACTTTTACTGAGATGCTTTTCACTGTAATACACATTTTTTTTTCTGAGTTAGCAAAGGGAGGAATTAAATTTCTAAAGTAATAACTATCCTAACCAAAGCCAGCCAGCCAAATACAACTAATCTCTAAAGTCTTCTTTTACTAAAATTCTGTAATTGTTGATGATTACTCAGGCATTTAGAGATCTTCCTGAATTATGTACAGCAGTAACTATATCTTAAGTGCACCATATGACTGGAATTCTGAATTATGAGATAATTCTCTAAGATGAACAAAAGTTTCAGATCAGTGGCTCTCAATCCTTTCTTTCTTTTTTTTCTTTTTTTTTTTTTTCCTTTGAGATGGGAATCTTGCTCTGTCACCCAGGCCCAAGTTGGAGTGCAGTGGTGCAATCTCAGCTCACTGCAACCTCCACCTCCCAGGTTCAAGCAATTCTCCTGCCTCAGCCTCCTGAGTAGCTGGGATTACAGGCGCCCACCACCACGCCTGGCTAATTTTTGTAATTTTAGTAGAGATGGGGTTACACCGTGTTGGCCAGGCTGATCTTGAACACCTGACCTCAAGTGATTCACCCACCTCAGCCTCCCAAAGTTCTGGGATTACAGGCGTGAGCCTTTGCATCCGGCCTCAATACTTTCAAGAACAATTTACCTCTTTGTTATTTTTACCCTTTGCCTCTATGTTGTAAACATTTTTTTGTCTATTAAACTTCGTTTAATAAGCACTGATTTCTTTCTTTCATTTTACATTTTTTTAAAGAAAAACCAAACATGGATGTCTATCACAATGTGTGGTCCACATGAACGAATGGAATTCCAGATAAAGTGGAGAAACATGACCTCCTAATTCTTTCTACCTCCCCTCTACATTTTTATTGCTCTCGTTAACTCCTTGCTTGAGAACTGCGGTTGGTGTTCAGTAATCCTTCTCCAAATCTAGTAACGCTGAAAATTCTAAAGATTTCCCTTATGTAACAGAAATTCATTAGTGAAAGAAGATCAAATTTAGAGTAATTCATTATATAATAGCTCATTTACACTGTGCCAGGGATCATTGTATTGCTTTGCAAGTACCCAACCAACAACCCTAAGAGGTAAGCACTACTATTATTTCTGTTTTATAATAAGGAAGTCGAGGCACAGGATAATTAGAAAATGAGCTAGGGTTGCAAAACTATTAAGGTAAAACTGAGCTCACACACTAGCAGTCTGGCCTCCATGTCTGAATTCTGGACCTCTGATCAACGCCTCCTCAATGAACACTGGGCTGTAGGTCCTGCTATCTCCTCTTATTTCATGTTGTGAGTTCTTCTAGCAAATAATTCTGAAAAGAATCTGGTAACTTCAAGCAAAGAAAAACTAATGGGAAAAACAGTTAAAGAATTACCACTGGAGCTGGGCGTGGTTGCTCACGCCTGTAATCCCAGCACTTTGGGAGGCCGAGGCAGGTGGATCACCTGGGGTCAGGAGTTTGAGAACAGCCTGGCCAACACGGTGGAAACCCTGTCTCTACTAAAAATACAAAAAATTAGCCAGGCGTGGTGGCGGGTGCCTGTAATCCCGGCTACTCAGAAGGCTGAGACAGAATTGCTTGAACTCGAAGGCGGGGGTTGCAGTGAGCCGAGATCCTGCCACTGCACTCCAGCCTGGGTGACAGAGCGAGACTAAACCTTACAAAAAAGAATTAACATTACACCTCCAAGATGACAGAGGCTATGTCTTTGGGCTGGGTCTTAGATCAGTATCTGCCATCACAAACATTTTCATCTGTATTTGGTGAGAAGGGAGGAGGAACAGAGAGGAAGGAAAAAGATAAAAATAAAGGCTTTTGGAAATAGGTTACAGTATTAGAATGACCACATTGCCAATAAAAATCAAGTGAGGCTATAATAAATGACCTCATCTGTCTGGTCTTCAGTTAGCCTTATCTCCAAAATGCAGTCAATAACAGTAATTACCCCACAGGGTTGATATGAGAATTCCACATTTAATACATATAAAGTTCTTAGGAGAGTATGTGACTCATAATAAGCACTTAATGAATATTGAGATATTATATTATTATCGTACTTTTTATATGAGGCAGGTTGAGGCAAATTATACAGTCAGATTCATGACAATATATAAACTGTGTTTTTGCCCTTAACATGTGTTGCTTTTAAAAATTTGGCCTCATCCTTAAGTATGCTTGTATTATTGCATCTTGTGGGCTTGGCTATTTTCTTATTTTTTATAAGAGTATGACACATTGCTTTCCTGGGAAAACAGGATTAATTGAAAATGTGGCTTTAGGGGAAATGTAGCAAAAATATCTACTTGACTCAAAAACGAAGCTTTGACTGTTTCTTCAAATCCTTCCCTCCCTCTTCCATTCGTCTTTCCATCCCTCCATCCCTCTCCTTTCTGCTGTTTTTTATCCTCCCTTTCCCATCCATCCATCTATCCAACCATTCAGTGTCTGATTCTATTTCTGGGGTTTGTCTTTGGGCTGGGTTTTAGGTCAGTATCTGCCATCATAAACAGTGCTTTATACACAGCATGCCAAGTTTTAGCCTCACAAATTTCAGCCTCACTTCCTCTTCTTTTATTTTTTATTTTTGAGACAGAGTCTTGCTGTCACTCAGGCTGGAGTGCTGTGGTGTGATCTTGACTCACTGCAGCTTCGAACTCCTGGGCTCAAGTGATCCTCCTGCTTTGGCCTCCCAAGTAGCTGATGCTACAGGCATGTGCCACCATGCCTGGTTAATTTTTTTTGTAGAGACAGATTGTCACTATGTTGCCCAGGCTTGTCTTGAACTCCTGGGCTCAAGTATTCCTCCTGCCTCAGCCTCCCAAAGTGCTGGGATTACAGACATGTGCCACTGCACCTGAATTAGTCTTACTTCTTTTGTGTATGCAGGAATGGACAGGGAAGATTAAGGTATTTGTGAGTTGACCTCAGGTTACTACTTCCCAAATGGGCTGGAGGACCAGCACCTGTTAAGGAGGCAGCCCTTCCCAGGAAGGAAGAAAGAAGAGTGCAAGGGTCATGTTTTACTAAATAAGAGTCCTTGTCAGAAATAAAATTATTTTTGTCTTGCAGTACATAAATTGCCAATCTTTGGAATATAACAGTCAGAACCAGATTTGCACCTTGAGTGTGGTAAACCTCACTACCTTTATTTAGACATAAATACTCTCACAATTATTATTTATTCATACTTCCAATAATAATTTAGTTATATTATCTCCTTTTAAAAATGTTTCTTTACATTTCTGTTTTAGATGCCAAGACACTGCGGCCATAGCTAATAATGCAATTTGTACAGTCTAGTTTATTCCTAGCCAAATAACCATTTAATGACATTTTTGGATGATGATTATTTTAATAAAATAAACAGCTTTCATGGATTCTCAATACTAACCAGAAGACAAAATAAATATTTCCAGATCTATGAGTATAACATGACTTGATTTGTTCTAACAGAGCAAGTCATTTAAGGAAAAATGTAGCATACACAATTCCAAAATATTACAAGAGTTTCTTTGTGTCACATACCAATGACTATTTCAAAATGCTTTAGAGTGACCATCCGAATGGAGTGACCAAAATTGCACACATAGTTTTGGAGAAAGCATTTTTCTACTCTCGTATTATTTAACCTTTTTTTTTTTTTTTTTTTTTTTTTTTTGGCTACTGCAATGATTCTACAATTTCCTTCACAGTACAAGCATCTCTATTCCGGCTTCTTTCTATGGGCTTTAGGTGAGCGTATATTGGCAGGTATTATGATGGCTTAATTAGAGGTCATTAAATCTGAAGGTGCAGGAAGCATTCCATTGATATGCTTTGATTTTAAATTCTTTCACTACTTGGTTTTCAGTTTAATATCATGCTTGATCAAATTGTACAGATTTTGCATATTTCTGGAGATCTGCGGACAGAATTTAGAGTATACTGGGTATATACTCAAAAGGATATAAATGATTCTACCATAAAGACACATTATGTCCATTGCAGCACTGTTCACAATAGCAAAGACATGGAATCAACCTAAATGCTCATCAACGGTAGACTGGATCAAGAAAAT